TATAGATAAGAACTATATCATCAGATGAATAATGTGCATATTAAATCTTTATTGAAGGATTCCCCCAAAATTAACATTTTTATCTATAAATGTTACTGAATCTTCATTCTATTTTGAATAAAACACTATTCATCAGCTGATAAAGTACTATCGGAAGTTTGTTTATAATATTATATCTGTTTATATAGTATATCCCCATGTTGTATTACCATATACCCTGGGAAAGAAATAAAGAGATATGTTCTGTTCTGTTCTGTTTAATTCTAACATCGTTATAGCTCAGGTGGTAAATCAACGTCACTGTTACTTTAAATGATTTGAACTAATAGGTTCGAAACCTACGCACGGCTTGTTATTATGATGTTGTTGTTAATGTGTTTCTCCCTTTTTATTTACTGTGTCTTTTGAATACATTTTCAAATCTATGAATGACATTCCAATAATACATTTCACATCACTCTAGGAATGACATTCTTTATAGTTGTAGATAACTGTTATGCAGAACAGAACAGAACATATCTTTTATTTTCACCCAAGCATTTTTCAATACAATATGGGGGCATTACACAATTTTTATATAACAGAGAATGCATAGTTCCGGTACGAACAAAAGAAGTATATACAGTACATTGCCAATGAGGAAAAAAAAAAACACACACAAAAAAAACTTTACTAAATTAGAAAAAAAAAATACAAACTATGGAATGATATATCGAGCAGGGGTTTGTTAACATTAAATCGATATACACCATTAATTTATTATTCTACGTGTAACTACATTTGAAGAAAAAAAATAAAATAAAATAAGGAGGTTGTCTATTGTAATAATTTGAACAGGTATACAACACAATACGCATCTGTATGTATGTATAGCACGACATTAGGTAAAAAAACATTAGCACAAACATGTAGTAAATCTGCACGTGAAAGTCGTGCATAACAGTTATCTACAACTGAAAGGAATTTCATTCATAGATTTATAATGTATTACTACGTGCATTTGGGAAATTCGAAATAGGAATCAATGGGATTATGTTGGATAAGATTTTGTCAGTAAAATGTGAGTAATGGCAATTTATAAATTTACATATAGATAATATGTACTTATATTCCTAACAATAACAGACATCTGTTTTATGAAAAAATAACTTCATTTGTGAATAGAAAATTATGTACAAAGAAAGTGTTGAGAAAAAAATATTAAACACGCAATTTAAAGGAAACAAACAGTTTAACAAGTGAGAAATATTAGATGAATATGCTTGCATATATATGTATATATGTTTATGTTGTTTATATGCTATAAACATTGTATAATGTTTCAGGCAATAAAATTTGAAATTGGAAAAAGAAAAAATATTATATTCCAATGTATATAATTGAACGAATTAACAAGAGACTATCTAAGGAGTAGGTATGCTATTTTTCACACTTACGGCTGTATACAAATCGTGATTGATATATAATTACTTCAGGCACTATTTATGCAGGTAGGTGTTACATTGTGTTAACAGTTTACTTCATTCAAACATTGAAATATGACATTTTCAGCTCAGTTTAGATGTATATAAACTACTAGTTATTGCGTACTGATTACAGTCTGACTTACAATGGCTAAAGTCGTACTATTTGGTGACAGTTATATCAAACGTCTTCACTATCACTGTGCCGAAGATCCACTGTTAATACCAGGGCACGTGCATTGGTGTTTTAAAGGCGGTCTAAGAACCGACCATATGGACCATGCCCTATATTCTCGTCTGCTGCGCCATAACGCAGATGTTGTAGTTCTGAATGTAGGCGGTAATGACATAACAGCTACATCATTCCCGAATGAAATTGTCAGTAGAATCCAAATTCTTGTGGATAATTTAAAGGCCTCTGGGGTTAAAAAAGTTTATATTTGTGAAATTTTGACCAGAGGCGAATTTTCTAAAGCACCGGGTTTGACAAAAGAGCGCTTCGGAAATCAAATTAAATACATTAATAAAAGGCTGGCGAAAAAATTCCAAGAATATTTAATTCGATTCAATGACATTAAATACTGTAAGGACTACCACACAGACAAGGTCCATCTTAACACAAACGGGCAAAAAAAATTCAGGGCCAGATTACAACGCGTGCTGTGTAAAACATACGCGAATGGCTGAAAACTGTCCTTTTAAGGACAACAAAAGGCCCTTTTAAGGGCCACACACATGTCTCGAAAGAAATTACCTCAGTTGTCAATATAAATCAATCGGAATATAACCTTACCAATGAATTTCCGTTTTTCTATCAGTGCATCATACATTAAGTAATGAATATACAGAAACAGAAGAAATGTATATTTCCTTGTATTAATTCAAAATATCGGTAATTACCTGTTTATAATACTTATTGTAATACTTACCAATACTTACATACTATTTCAGGTATTCACAATTTCATGATTTTGCCCGTGTAATATACACTATTTTTACATATCTACTGTGATATAGACCTGAAAATAAAATAAAAAAAAAAGTTTTAAAAATTATCATACGATTTTGAAATTTTACATTTTCTAGGGTTAAGATATCACAGAAAACAACAAATATGTACTGTTATTATAGACAAAAATGTCTAAAAACTATTATATAACTTATTCACAGTTTACGAACGAATGTCCGGATATACACTGCAATAAACTAGGAAAGGCAGTTATCTGGACTCTTCAGTAATGCGTACACAACGGGGGGTGGATGGAGTGCGGTATCCATAGCGATTGCGGTTAATTTCCTCTATCGATAGATTACAATCTTTCACTCCGTTTACGGCTTAAAAAAATTAGAAATACAATAATTAAAATATAGACAATTTAAACAAATCATAATGATAATAGTCTTGTTAGGTGGGATGTCATGTATATTATTTATTAACTTGACAAAATGATATTAGGATTGCAATGAAATGAACACAATAATCAACATAAGGAACGAGACAATGAATCACAAATCAATAATTATAGATTATAAGAACAGTGCTCGTGCACCTAAATGTATAATTACCTACAGTACATACAAACCGGAAAAATGACACTGCCAGCCCGTGCATTCCATGAAATATTTATAAATACAAACATTAACATTTTGCTTTTACATACATGTACATAAGTGTTATAGAAATATATAACCTTCTTATGGATAATACATAATGTCATGATCGGTACAATTTAGAAAAAACAATGATTTCAATAAGTTACCATTTATTTCAAATACTGTCAGGGTTTTTTTCCTAAATTTGTTCGGGACGCTTTGTTAGCGCAACATGGGAAACGTCAGTTTTTGTGCTGTATATATTTTGTGGATGAAAAGTTTATTTCCTTCTTTATGTCACTGACACATAACATAAAACAAAAAAACACGATTTATCTTTGCTTAGATAAAAAAACGCGTGGATAGACGTACGATTTCGGGCGCTATAAAGATGATTTTATGTATGCGAAACATTTTTCTCGCTATTGTTACTTACATTACTATTTCATTAACTAAAATTACGAAGTATTTCAAAATAATTTTGGTTCAGATAAACATTAAACCTTCCGGACGCTTTGTCGGTATACGGTGGTTTTTTAGCAAGTGAACTTGAGCCTAAGGTATGAATGTTTTTTTATATAAATAGAAAAAAATGATAAGTAAGATTATTTTTTTTCTACCATAAATACCTCAATACATAATAATATACATTATTTACAATAAATATAACCATTCTGACTGTTTAAATAAAGATTAATGCTTCGGGACGCTTCATGACATTTCGGGACGCTAAATTCTTCGGTACGCTTTGTTAGCGCACCTAGGGAAACGTCAGTTTTCGCGCTGTAAAATAATATTTTGTGGATGATATGTTTATTTCCTTTTTAATGTCACTTACACGTATCATAAAAGAACTTAATTACGATTTATCTTTGCTTAGATAAAAATAAAAACCATGAATACGTTTCGGGACGCTATGTTAGTCAGTTAGCAACTTGAACTATGCGTGGATAGACGTACGATTTCGGGCGCTATAAAGATGATTTTATGTATGGAAAACATTTTTCTCGCTATTGTTACTTACATTACTATGTCATTAACTAAAATTACGAAGTATTTCAAAATAATTTTGGTTTAGATAAACATTAAACCTTCCGGACGCTTTGTCGGTATACGGTGGTTTTTTAGCAAGTGAACTTGAGTCTAAGGTATGAATGTTTTTTTATATAAATAGAAAAAATGATAAGTAAGATTATTTTTTTTCTACCATAAATACCTCAATACATAATAATATACATTATTTACAATAAATATAACCATTCTGACTGTTTAAATAAAGATTAATGCTTCGGGACGCTTCATGACATTTCGGGACGCTAAATTCTTCGGGACGCTTTGTTAGCGCACCTAGGGAAACGTCAGTTTTCGCGCTGTAAAATAAAATTTTGTGGATGAAATGTTTATTTCCTTTTTAATGTCACTTACACGTATCATAAAAGAACTTAATTACGATTTATCTTTGCTTAGATAAAAATAAAAACCATGAATACGTTTCGGGACGCTATGTTAGTCAGTTAGCAACTTGAACTATGCGTGGATAGATGTACGATTTCGGGCGCTATTAAGATAATTTTATGTATGGAAAACATTTTTCTTATTATTTTTACTTACATAACTATTTCATTAACTAAAATTACGAAGTATTTCTAAATAATTTTGGTTTAGGTAAACATTAAACCTTCCGGACGCTTTGTCGGTATACGGTGGTTTTTGAGCAAGTGAACTTGAGTCGAAGGTATGTTTGTTTTTTTTATATAAATAGAAAAAAATGATAAGTAAGATTATTTTTTTCTACCATAAATAACTCAAAACATAATAATATACATTATTTACAATAAATATAACCCTTCTGACTGTTTAAATTAACAATAATGCTTCGGGACGCTTCAGGACGCTTCGGGACGCTAAATTTCTTCGGGACGCTTTTTAGTGAGACCGGACCAGAGCGTCTATATGTTACTTGTTAACACGTTATTTTGTCGTTTATTTAGTGATGGTAAGCTTTGTTTCTTTTAAAATGAAATTGATTGATCAATATAAAATTTTAGACCTTGTTTCAAAAATCTATTAAATGGCCTAAGGATAATTTGAGGATAATTTAAGACAGAATAACGATTCGTCCCACTGACGATTCGCCCCATAATTTCTCACTCATCATCAAAAACGACTTGTCTTTCCATGGTGACGAGTAGCTCCTCAAAGTAGTTTTGTTATAGATGTATATACTTGAACTCTCTTTGTCCAAACAGAATAAAAGGCAATCAGATTTGCATATAGTTCTTGCTTCCAAAACTTTAAAAGCCCACTCTTCCGGTACTGGTTTACTTATCTAGGTTCAATAATGCTTCATTACTTGCAATACACCCATTGACAGACTCTAATGAACTACGTAAATAACGGAGGTATATCGAGTGAAAAAACAAGATTTATTTCCCTTGGCTTCGAGTAAAATCAATATCTCTACCGCCTCAGTGGTCGAGGGGTTAGAGTCGATTACTTCTAATCCAGTTACCTCTCTGGCATGGGTCAGATCCTCGGGAGATGCTTTGGTAGTTTAGCCGGGAGGAAGGTAGTCAAGTACTGGTGTAACTCTCAAGGAACGATGGTTAGAAAACTACCCGCCTATATGACTGAAATACTGTTGAAAAAGGCGTAAAAAGAAACAATATCTTTAATGCAAAACAATGCAAAATTAGCAGTTTTTAAACCTCTAGTTTTAGTCGATTTAATGTCCGATTTTAAATTTTATTACACCAATGAAAAGCTGGTGATCTTAGCTTCATCTTGGTATATATTTCAACACATTGTTTCACACTGAAGGTATTTAAATTAAGGTTAAACCTACCACAAGTCAGACCATTTTACATATGTTTTATGCAGTGAGATATTAAAGCAATCGGTTATCTTTACTCGCAATTCTACTGATAAGAAAAGCCTGTCGCCTGCTAGTTCAGAAACTGTCAATCCGTGTACTTGCAATTTAAGATAATGATATGATAATATTTGTTGTCTACATTTAAATGTTTAGGGTATTATTTTGTTGAAATTTTATTCTTGTAAGTGTCCTATTAAATGTTGTACTTTTTTAAAATTTATTAGTGGTGTATAGATCTACTGTATTTGGGTATATTTTGGTTCAAAATACAATGATAGGAAATGTTTATTTGGGTATGTTTAATTATAGTTAAGAAAAAGTGTATATTGTGATCCATAATTAATACATAATTGTTTTAGAATTAAACATTTATTTTTAGCATATTTGGGCAATATTTAGGTAATTTGTGCTGCCCTCAACCTGACACTTTTTGACGGCGGCACGAAATACCCAAATGTACCCATGCTGCCCCTTTTTGAACATTTTTCCAGCTAGAAATTTTAAAGCTGGAGAAATTAAAATTTGACACAGTACAGCTAGGTTCTTTGGCGCCGGTTTTTCTCCTAACAAGGTAGTTTGCGTATTTCTGAGTAAGTTGACATTTAATCTGAGGTCTGTGGAGTAAACTACCTAAATTTTCCATACTGACCTATACAGGTGGCGAGGTGCCTTTAAACTTGTATCCCAAACCAGGCTTTTAGATTTTTGCATGTTTGACAGCCCTGAGGCGTTAAGTGTGGACCAAATTTTATGTGTTATAAAGCTGAACTGCTGTTATTTGAATTTTAAAGTCAAAAGTGTACTTTTACAAGAGAGAAATATTAAACATGTTACTTACAGCTTTAGCAGAGATAAAATCTCATGCATTGATTTCTGCTGTAATGTCTTCCTCAGACAGATGGAAACTTTTCTTTTATTCCGGAATCTGCCACCTGAAATGTAACTACTAAGGTGTTGTTTTTTAGAAGATATTGGCCTCGTGTTTTATATTAAAATTATGACAACTGATAATATAGATTGTCAAACTACTGGAATCAACCAGTAAAATTATAAAAAGAAAATTAAATTTCAATTTAGAAACCATCAAATAATATTGGCCTCAGTATAAGGCGGGTAGGGGGTAGGGGCGTGGAATATAATATCATGTGACAATTTATATACTTGCATTTTCTCAAATTTCAGGGAACACCAATAAAGGATGTTGTTATATCAGAAAATGCACCTAAAACACTGATGCTACAGAAACATGCTGATTATATTGCAGCGTACAGCTCGAAAAAGGAGGATTATGTAAGATGATACGCCTTTAACCCTTTCACTGCCATAGGGACAGCTTATGCCGTCCCTGTTATTTTCGGTGTATTTGCCATATGGACGGCTTTAGCTGTTTCTATTATAAAAATAGTAATAATAATAAATTAATAATAATAATAATAAAAATAATAATAAATATAAAGAAAATTATACCATCAACAATAATTATTATTATACTAACAGATTTGGAAACATAATTATATAATTATTATAATACTAATAACAAATATTATATTAATTAATAATATAGTAATTTCTTAGAAAACCCTCTGGCAAATAGGTGATCAATAAAACAATTACCCTCTGGCAGCGAAAGGGTTAATAAAGTTTATTACTCTAAATTTGTGAAATGGTCTTTCGTATGTTGTTACCTATGTCTGTAAGAAGCTGCATGAATTATATAATATTTAAAATATAAGATACAAAAAAAAGTTTTCCTATGAGTTGAGTGGTGGAAAAATGAACTATGACTTTAATCATTAATATTCCATGTTTGAGATGATTCTAAGCCAGCTGGTGGCAACATTATTAACCCATTGAACCAGTGGTTATACATGGAACTGGTAGATACACATGGAACCAGTTCTAATCAAGATCAGCAGGTACATCGGTGTTATTCAGCAAGAATTCATGAACTACGTCCTATAAATGAAAAATGTATTTGTCCAGATTGAAAGACTGACAAGTCCATGTAAGGTATTTAACGTGGTGTGAAGTGTTAATTATTGTCCATCAAACAAATATTTACAGGAGTACTGTATGACAGAGTATCTACGGGTTAGTGGTATGTACTGGGGATTGACGGCCATGGATTTGATGGGACAGCTTTCACGCATGAATAAAGATGAGGTGGTAGAATTTGTACAACAGTGTCAACATGAATGTGGTGGTATTGGTGCTAGTGTGGGACATGATCCTCATTTACTTTATACCCTTAGTGCCGTTCAGGTAATATGTTACATGAAAGGTTCATTCATATTTTTGATGAAATTTATGTTGACACTAACGCTAACATCGGATGATCCAATTCACATGGAAATGCTTTCAGTCCTAATTGTTTCTGAGAATATAGTCTCTGACTGAGTGGTTTTGGTTGTTGACTTGCCTCTTTCCACTGTGGGTTCAAATCCTGCCAGGGGCTTATGAATCTTCCATGCTAGGAAGTTATCCAGTTAGCTTACATCAGTGGTTCTACTCGGGTGTTCGCTTCCTCTACCAGAAAAGCTGGAAAGTTGCCATATGACCACTACTGTGTTGTAACGAAGTAAAGCCCCGCTCCCCAAAACTATAATAGGTAATATTATTGAAGTGCCAAATGACTGTGTGATGTCTTAATATGAAAATGAATAGAAATCTTTTGCATATGAATTACCTCCCTTGATCTGTTACTATTAAAGAGAAAGGTGTTAATAAATAACTATGATGTTTTATAATCTTTCGTTCAGATATTGACACTGTATGACTGCCAGAATTGTATAAATGTGGACAAGGTTGTAGAGTTTGTAAAAAATTTGCAACAAGATGACGGCAGTTTTTTCGGAGATAAGTGGGGTAAGAATTTGATAGGGTTGTCCCTGTTAAATGGAATTGTTTAGAAATTGTCATGAAATGTCTAATTAAGTGGTGATTGTCACTGATCTAAGAGTCCAATTATTTCTTATATTATCTTTTAAAGCTTTCATTATGAATATAGATAATTATAATAATTCAAATAAATTAACAGAATTTTGATTGGCTGTTAAACTTCGTATACAATGCTGTATATACCATGATGAACAAAATTGGGCTCAAACAACATGGTTTTCCTACATCTTAGATGGATAACTACATGTGTACATAAAATTTGTTATTCTGTTTTTGTTCTTTATGGCATATTTACCGTGCCTCGAGTCATAATGATCTCATTTAGGCTAAATTCACCTGCATAATTTGTGTAACTAATAATATAAATACCAAGCTTTTATTGACAAAAATGTTATGGCAGAATAAAACTCAATTAAAAGAGTTGCTAAATTAATATCAATAGCTGCAATTTAGATAGTAATAATAAAAATTTAAAATGTTGAAGATAAATGTTTGTTTTGCGGGAATCTCCGTGACTGAGTGGTCATGGTTATGGTCTTTGACTTCAAATCATTTGCTCCTCATCTCTGTGGGTTCAAATCCCATCAGGGGCTTTAGATTCTTTTATGTGAGGATGCTATTCGGCAAGCTTACAGAAGGTTGGTGGATCTACTTGCAGGTGTATCTGAAGTCTTCATCCATCATTTTAAACCTGGAAAGTCACCATATGACCTTGACAATGACGTTGTGACTTACAATAAACTGTTAGTTTTGCATGTCAGATTGAGATATATTTAACAGAGTGAACATGTGAGAGGCAATATTTTCATGAGCCCTGAGCTCATATTCATGAGTGAAAAATAACACAAGAGTGTATTTCTGACATAATTTCCATTCATTTATGATATATTGTTTTCATCCTCATTCAAACATAAGTCACAGTGAAAATATGGAAATATAGTTTCATTATCTACTGAAAAGCATTGTAATGAATTGTTATATTTACATACAGGTGAAGTTGACACAAGATTTTCATTTTGCGCAGTGGCATGCCTGGCCCTTCTAGGACGTCTGGATGAGATTAACACAGACAAGGCTGTGGAGTTTGTCTTATCGTGTATGAACTTTGATGGAGGGTTTGGTTGCAGGCCAGGGTCAGAATCTCACTCTGGACAGGTGAGGTCAACTAATTTGTAGCAAAGACAAGGATAAAAATCATTGTTTTATGTGAACACACCTTCCCTTTTGTCTGGTAAACTGTGATATCACGTGATTTCATGGACATGATTTCTCTTGTTCACTTTGAAAATGGTTTTGTTTAAAAATGTTTTTTCAAATATTGATATGTCATAAGAATACACTGCTCAAGTTCGAATTTGGTCATGGTTTGATGATAGCTGACAGAGTTATCCCTCTTGAAATTTGAAAAAGATCAGACATTTTAAGTTTCAGTTCATTATCTACCCAATGGTTGTACACATTCAACTCATATTTTACATATAGATACATCTTAGAAATAAGCAGTTCAAGTTTAAATTTGGACGTGGTTCAATGATTTTGGACAAAGCTATCTCACTTGAATGTTGGAAAAAATTTGAATTTTCAGTTTCAGCTCTCATACTTTTGTGGAAATGTATGTAGTCATTATTTTGGCTACAAATATACTAATAGGCAATTTACAAAAAGTTAACACTAAATAGTTTCAGTGCCTTGAACTTGTATAAAAATGGTTTGTGTTAACATGTAATAGTTTTAAGGACTTTGAAATTAAAATGAAAAAAATAGTTTGTGCAAACAAATTTGGAACTAAATATTATAACATCTGATATTTTGACTGCACTGGGGGCATGCGTGGCATGACGACACATTTCTAGTTTTAGAAAGAACTAGTTCAATAAAGTTTATAAGATGTGTTGGATATAGGGAAAGGGATACATAAATCTATAAGTCTCTTTGTTTTAGTGTGTTAGCAATGAATCTCTGTATTTCCTATATACCATAATTTTGTGTGTTACCAATACTGTTTCTGTATTTCAGATATACTGTTGTGTTGGAATGCTAGCTATACTTGGAAGGTTACACAATGTAAATGCTGATATGTTAGGTTGGTGGCTTTGTGAGAGGCAACTTCCATCTGGTGGACTAAATGGTAAATTTACGTATGTTGTTTTTTCCCATTCATATGTCACACTGTCTATTCATAGAAATAAACATACTGGCAATACGATGTTGGCACATCTATGTACTTTGGACACATTTATAGCTATGTGTTAATTGTTAACTTAAGAGGACTTCTCGCTGCATGAATGATGAAAAAAAAAAAAAAAATTATAGTACGAACAAAATAGAGTTTGCTTAAACAGCACTATATTACTGACTTTATCTTGTATGAATTTTATAGGTAGACCAGAAAAGTTACCTGATGTATGCTATTCATGGTGGGTGTTGTCATCTTTGAAAATAATTGGCAAATTACACTGGATCAATAAAGTATGTGGTATTATAAAATTGTTTTAAGCACTTTGTTTTGTTCAGTCCTTAAGGTGGAATTTTATTAATAGTTATTTGAAGAATTTGTTATGCATTTATTGTGTTGGCTTGTTGGTCAAAAGAAATATGTTGATATGTTTTCAGAAGAAATATAGGTTATTGTGTTAATAAGTTAACAGGAGAATTTCAGTTTATTGTGTTCAAAGGTGTTCAGAAAAAAAATAGATTATTGTGTTCACAGGAGAGAATTGGTTGTTGTGTGTCAATAAGTTCACATAAATAATTTTGCAAAATTAGAATTATGGTGTTAACTTGTTTGCAGGAGAAGTTGGTGAAGTTCATGCTGGCATGCCAAGACGAGGAGACTGGAGGATTTGCAGACAGACCAGGAGATATGGTAGGTATTAAGAGATGTTTTTCTGTTTAGTACTATAAAAAATTAAAACAGCACAGGTTTGTATTAAGAGATTAATACACAGCAGAGTAGGCCCAAAAGGTGATAATTGGCCCTCAAATGAATAATGGCCCGAGGGCAATATTCATTTCAGGGCTGATTATCACCGTCTGGCCCCATGTTAAACATCTTACTGCTTGTATGTCATTAGATAGACTTATGTTTAATGAAATGTGCTCAAAACTGATTAGATTGTGTTATATTCTTTCAGGTTGATCCATTCCACACATTGTTCGGTTTAACAGGACTTTCATTAATGGGGGAGGAATCAATCAAACCCGTAAATCCAGTTTTCTGTATGCCAGAGGAGGTGATTAGAAGAGCTGGTATAAAAATGGAGCTATTGTGATAGGGAGATAAATAGAAGAGCTCAGAATAGAAATGAACTATTTCGGAGATAGGGGTGATTAAAAGAAGAGCTGTGCTTTGCTTTGAAACCTGTGTGAAAAGATTTGAAGAGAAAAGCAAATGGAATTTTAATGCTTTGTGACAATACTTAATTGTATAAAAGGCTTTAACATTACTTAATTGTACAAAAGGCTGTAAAAGCAACTTCATCTGTGATAGAAATTATTACTGCTTCAACACCAGATGGTTTGTTCAGTTGTGCCATTTGTCAAGTACATTTACAACACTGTAAAATGATGCAAGTGGGTTTTTTAAGCTTACCTGTGCACAAGGTGCTTTAGTGATAATGTGATGTTCGTTTAGTGTCATTCATGATATAATTTCTTAATGCAACAATTCCATAACAACATACATGTAATTGATTTTTACCAAAATTCACATAAAAGGTCCTTCTACAAAAGTTAGATGAATGGATCCACTGCCATGCATAATTATGCTATTAAACTAGACATAAAAAAAGAAATATTTAAAATTCTTCTCAGAAACTACAGGCACCTAGAGCTTAGATGTTTAGCATTTAAGCATCATTGTACAGTTCTATACAATAGTTATATAAATTTAGACCCTAGGGTCAAGATTGGTCTTGCCCTAGGGTTTTCTTAAGTTTACAAATACTTTATAGAAAAACAATCTTTAGTGTGAAACTACATGGTCTAGAGCATCTGCTGCATATAGCTCGATATCTACAGAGGTTTTTAGGCCAAACAATAGGGTAGCAGAACTCTCAACTACATAGAATTCAGAACACATTGATTTGTATCTGTATTTAAATGTGACAGTTATTTCCCAAGCGCCGGTAATAAGTCACCTTTATGTATGTTGTTAACCATGCTTTGGAGGGTTCCAAAGGGTGTTTAAGGATAAATTTTATAAATATATTATTTGGGAGGCAATTTATTTGTGACCCTGCAATTAATATTATAAAAATATCTTTAGAGCCAGTCAAACATTTACAAAAACTTGATCAGGAGAAGATAAAAGAATTTAACAAAGAACTCTTGGTATTTCTTTTTGTTTGATTCACATTTGTAATCCATGATTTCACTTTCATTGTTTAGAAAAAGGATTTAACGGTCCACATTTGATACATTTTTGCCCTTGTACTAGACAGTCACTTGAAACATAATATTTATTATCATATCAGTGGGATTCTTTTCTTTCTTCAAATTGTTGTTTTGATGATCCATCACAGGTGCTGGTAAAATGTAAGCTTTCTGTTTTTATTGATGTCCATTTTGGTTATTTATTCCATTTTCTTGTTCTTGGTGTCACTGTTGATTTAAAGTCCGTAGTAGGTTTGTGCCTGACGCTGACTCAGTTTGTATGTTTGAGCAACATTAACGCATATTTCAAGTGTTCATCTGAGCCTTCTACCGACCTTATTCCAAAGACAATATGATCGCTAATAAAATCTTGCTGCATATCCACAGGATTATCACTGTCCTTATTCTGTAACAAACTGTTCAAATGGTTCATTTTCTTATTGTGAACTTAATTTGAAAAGATATCTGTTATAAATAATGTTACTTTTTGGTGTGCAATATTCTTTGAATTTATAATGTTAATTTAATTTCTTTCTCTGTTCATTTGATAAGTCTATTGTTGAGTATACATGTATCTCTTGTCCCTTTTCACGGACCCATAATTTTATATAGGTTCGACGAATTTCTTTGTTTTACTTGCCATCGGCTTGAATTTTTTCAATGTCCTTTAACCACGACATCTTGTACTGTTTAAATTCTTTTAATTCCAGCCCATACAAGGGATTTGTTAATAATTATTTTCCATCATGCTTGTAACTTGTCTTATAAATTTTTCTTTTTATTTCTTTATACATGTATCTTGTCTACTTTTTAATTCTTTATATAAACATTTAGCTTAAATAATTTTATCATCCTAAATCTTATGACACCATGTTGTATTAAGGGGCTTTTGATGTTTGAAGTGCACACTGTGTACATATTAATAAATATATATATATATAATAATATTGTAATATATAAATTAGCATTATATGATGTACAACAGGCCACTGATTTAGGAGGTTTTTGAAAAATTGTTTAAATATCAACAAAAAATTAATCTTAAATGTTTTGTATTCAGGAACCTTAAGAATGTACCAGTTTCCATTTTCATACATATTTTTTTGAAGTTAATGTAAGATTTTCAACTTAACTTTGTATAGGTGGTGCAATATTTAATAAAATACTGAAAGATAATTAAAATATTGCAAAAAATGTGATTTTGTATAAGATTTATCTCTCCAAAGAGTATAGACTTTACCAAAATACAAAAACAACATACAAAACAATCATAGCTTCAATAATGCTGAAACTATTTAGAAATTATAAACCCCCTATTTGACCCTATTGCGCTATAACTCATGGTATGATTACAGTACAGATAACGAGGCATATGCAAATTCCTGCGAGTATCAGGCATTACAAAAGCATGACTTCCAGTAGATTATAAATTTCTCGTCGGTAACAAGTGACAATTTAGTTTGCGGGACTCTGTGAATCTCTGAGTCAAAAGTACACAAGATTGATTTGGTATGATATATAATTCATTTATTCTTTAATCTAATGCTCTACCTCTAAACTAAAATCTTTGAACGCATGTATTTTTTCATAGACACAAATTGAATTAAATCATAGTGTACTTGTCAGAGAACTTACGGAGAATCTATCTAAATTAAAGCTCGATTTAAAATTATCTTTGTTTCTCATCCCGCGACTCATGTCAGTTTGGGTAGGGTAGGAAGGTATATGAAAGGACACTCTAGGGCACTTGCGTTGTTCATGCCGATAAAATGACTAGTCCAGCGGCCTATTTCAATGGGAAACTTGTAGTTACCAGTGCCAAAATGGAATAGGCACATTCTTAATAAATTTGGGAGGGATATAAGATATTTCTCAAGGTTAATAGTTTCTTTATAAAAGCTGTACATTCCGTCTTTATTACAAGTTTCTAATGTTGAGGACCATTCCTGTTTAAACTGATCTATTAGGGGTTGACTTGATCAGTTTGTGGACGTTATAAACATGTATATAATGTTGGGTTTGCAAAAATACGAATTAGCCTACCTGTAATATCTAAAATATTATTAGATATTTAAAACAAAATTTATCCACTTATATCTACGATCAGGCTGTATCATGTAACTGTAGCACATATGTAATATTTTTGATTCATTTGACAAGGTTAACTTATTCCAGAATTTAACAGTTTGAGATTTAATAGTGATATCTATGGGGTAACGTCCTAGCTCTGCATACAGCATGTATCGAGGAGCACTCTCTCATTTTAGTGATTTTAAGTAGGAAGTTAACAGTCATGAACTTGTTCAATCAGGTTTAAATTTTCATAACCCCAAATTATATATTATATATTTGAACTAAAATTTTTGCAAATAACTTTACCTTGTGGTCGCGTTATGATTTTTCATTTCGTAATATTCAGACCACCTCATACAAGCATCAAAACATCTACTTGTTTTATTTGTGAATACTTAAACAGATGTTTTTAGACCAGACTAAGACCTCGAGTGAAACTGCTAGTATGAGAAAGACACATGTATAATATACTACATGTACACACAAACGATTAAGGGGAAGTAAATCAATCATAACTCTGAAATGAATCTAAATGAATTACCTATCTTGATAGCATGTTAACTGTTTATTATTTGACCATATTTAAAACACCTGCCTTTTGACAGCAGTTCTACAACACAAAAACTTTCAATAAGATTTGTATTATAATTGTGTTTTGTCATATTATTTTCTTAAATAAATTTATGGCTTTAATTAACAATGTCGATCTTTTCTCCGCATATCTTTTAATGTAAACGTCAGGCAAAGTAAAACGAAAAGGCGAAGAAAGAATGATGCACATGTAGTTTTCTTGGTGTTCATCTCATTAAACTACAAATGAAACGTACCGTAATTCACATTTAATTATTTTGTGCCTGATTTTTATTCGTTATTCTTCATTGCTTGTGTTTAAGGGTTCGCTTGAATCCAGCGCTTGTATCGGCGCGACTTAGAATTTTATTAATTCAAAACAGTACATGTATTTAACAGTTTTTATGAAGAAGTTTACTTGCAATTCTCTGCATGGCAATCAATAACAAAATACTTGTACCTGTCAATGAAAATCTATTAAATTCACTTGCGGAATCTTAAAGTGACGTTTTTTATACGAATTTAAATAATTTAGGGAAACGTTATATGAAACAATAGCCTTACAGAGATATGACCCATTTCATTTGTCAGCTGTGTAATCTTGTCCAAGTTACATTTTCTCATTGGGAAATTATTAATTTTACCAGAAGCATTTGCTCTGTGTCAATTTTTTATATACTCGGTATTGTTTTAGATTTTTAGTATTTATTTATATTGCTAGCACCAGATAGTTAGCCTATTGAGGTAGTAATATTATATTACCAAACAACACACAGACTAATTTACTTTCAACCAAAGATACGGGACTTGACTTGTTCCTTTAGATTTGCTATTCAATTACTATATGAAAGTGATCCGTAGTTTTGTAGATGGTTTCCTATATAAGCTATGGATCTCTTTAGCACATATGGAGCTCAGATGAAATTTTGACCAGCAATTCCTTTATTTTGAAACCAATCTCAATAAATGTTTCAATAAGTGTTTGTTTGAATGTTAATCATTGTTTGGTGGTAAGATTTTGTGAAAACTCTGTATTTTGAATCCGTCGCATTGCATATTTTGGACACACCATAACCAACGACGGAAAGAATATTTCGATGAAGACTGCATAAAATCCAAACAAAACTAGGCAAATATTAAGGAAAGCCAGGAGGGTCGAATCACATTTCGATTTTCTTAAAAAAAGCTTTGAAATTTATATGTTTAAAATGTTGAAACTTACCCTGTGTGATTTAACTATTTTCTCCTTCACATATGCGCCCATCTTGAGCAGCGAAAATTAACATATATATTTTACCGATGCCCAAATTTTGAGATCCACATATGGTTCCACCCCTGTGATAGTAAACTAAGGTAAGTTGAGAATTTGTGAGATTAGGAGGGGGGATACCTTGAGATGACCTCAATAAATAATACTGAATAACATTTAGTTTTGAAATATTTTGGTCCAATATACATGTACATTTAAGTGTATTTTATACAGGAACTGACAGTATTTCAGAAAACAAATGTTGAAAAATTAGATACATAGCGATAGAGATGGTCCCATTCAATTTTCTATCAGAAGTTGAATTTTATAAAAAAAAATTCGACTTTCGAAGGAGTGTGCACATTTTATAAACGGATAGATACATGTAGTATGAACTATTAAGAGCGGGATACCAGTACTTATGCCAAGAAAACAAGAGCCATGTCGACATGGCTATCCCCGCCGAATGTGTTTCCTCAATGGAAGAATGTATATGTAGTAGAGCAGAATAATTCAATTTTAAGGGGTCTTTTGGTAATGAATACTGATGGCTGAAGTGATTACAGATTTGAAACCTATGTGAATAATGATGGCTGAAAATAACAAAGGACAATAACTGAAAAATAATGCAGGGTAGATTATCATTCTTGTGTGCTGCACCCCTCCTCTGTAAAATCTATCCACCTATGAAGTTTCAAGTTGATATCTCAAATACTTTTGAGATAAGCTCCGGACAAAATAGCTTGAAAAAGAACAAAGGGCAATAGCTAAAAAATTATATAGGGAAGAGTTATCATTCTTGTGCACTACACACCTCCTGGGTGATATCTATGGACCAATGAAGTTTCATGTTGATATCTCAAAGGGTTTTTTAGTTATGCATTTATTTGAAAAAAACAAAAACAATGGACAATAACTAAAAAATTATGCGGGGTAGAGTTATCATTCTTGTGCAGTGCACTCCTCCTCAATGAGATCCATCCACCTATGAAGTTTCAAGTTGATACCTCAAATACTTTTGAGATAAGCTCCGGACAAAATAGTATGAAAAGAACAAAGGGCAATAACTAAAATTATATAGGGAAGAGTTATCATTCTTGTGCACAGCATTCCTCCTCAATTAGATCTATCCACCCAAGACATTTCATGATGACATCTCAAACACTTTTGAGTTATGCTCCACTCAGGTAAAAAATTAAGTATGAAAAATAACAAAGGACAATAACTCAAAAATTATGAAATGTAGAGTCATCATTCTTGTTCACTGCATACCTCTTGAGTGAGATCTATGCACCTATGAAGTTTCATGTTGATATCTCAAAGGCTTTTTGAGTTATGCTGTGGACAAAATTAATTTTGAAAAATAACAAAGGGCAATAACTCAAAAATTATGCAGGGTAGAGTTATCATTCTGGTGCACTGCGCTCCTTCTTAATGAGGTCCAACCACCTATGAAGTTTCAAGTTGATACCTCAAATACTTTTGAGATATGCTCCGGACAAAAATGTTGGACGGAAGGATGGACGGACGGAAGTACGGACGGACGGACGAAGACTATTTCTATATCCCCCGCCGCCTTTTCGGCGGGGGATAAAAAGTGAATGTTGGAAACTTCTTCAATATCCGTTTATCCATATAAATTTGCTGTGTTTGTCAATGTGACCGTCGATGTTTCTGTCGATGATCCTTGGATGATTTGTCGTATGCGTCGAAGTAGCAGGGCCCGTAAAGAACATGTATGAAAATATACAGTACTGGGATCCTACATGTTTACCGGACAATCAGTTTACCGCACAAAATCTATTCCTGCCAAATAAGGCTTTAATTTTGCTTTGATTAAAAAATCATATGGTCTGAATCGTACACACTTTCTATTTCGAAGAAAATAACAACAAAACAACTCTCAGGCAAATATTGTTGATTCAGTTCTTTATTAACTAACATGCCCTTTTGTTTACTAGTTATTCCATGACCTGGTCATGCGGGGGAATAATCTGTTCTGCGCATTCCCGAATATTGAGGCCCTAAATTGGTTATTTTAGATAGGTTTTACTTTTAATTCTTCTCATCGTTACCTCAGGAGACAATCGTCACATATTTTTATGATAAAAAGTAATTCTAAATTTTGTTCAAACAATATCTTGTTGTTGTCTTTTACAAAGAAATGCAAATTAAAAAACATATAAGGAAACGGGTTACGCCCATGGGAAGAAACTGTACATAAAATGTACAAAAAAGAGATTTTATGGTTTTCGCAACATGCTACATGATGACCAAATGAAAACTGTATGAGAAAGAACAGAATTC